TTGGAAGGTATTCGTGAAATGGCCTGACCCGAAACCGAATGAGAATAACCCTGAAGTAAATAAAGTTTGGATAACCATAAAGGTCCTCGGTTTCGGTAAATCCGTGCCAGTTTTTTGTCTGTCATGTGATAAACGTGCATTCTGTGCCGCTTTCGTGAACGAAGGTTTCTTGCTCTACTGATGCCTGTCACGGGATTCATCCGAACTCATCGAAGTTGCAGACCAATGTGCCAAAGACTTATGGCTCGAATACAAAATTCTCCATTTCAAGGCAACCCTTTTTCTGTTTTCAATGGGGTCGAATCACAATTTTCCTCCAACCATTTTTTCTTTGATATTAAATATCGAGTCACAATAAATCACTAAGGGAGTCTTCGAGACCTAGGCCTTTTAATATATATATATATATATATGGAAAGTAATTCGATGTATTTTCAGTTGTTTTTTAGCTTTGAGTATACTGGGAATATAAAGTTAAGCTATTTCGTCTTCTTGTCTTGGCGTTAGCATTGTACTTTTTCTCCGAATAACATCCAATTCTGAGGATGTATGTTGTTTGTTGGATGAGAAAGCCTAGCCCTTTTCACCGGACCAGAGGGAGGATATCTCGTGCAATGTCAGCTGGAACTTCGAAGTAAAATAAAGCGGTTGCAGAGCCACAGAAATCATCAGTGGTCTTCATATACATAAACACGAAATAAATGTCACTAAAGCAGAAGTACAGCTTCAATTGAAATTCATATATCCCCTATGATCCATTGGTATTTGTGATTAGCCGCAATGCAAATGAATTTTGTTTGGGTCGCGTTGGAGTTAGAGATTGGACAGTGAAGTATGATCAAAAGAGCATTCCAGTCGAGATAATAAAACCTTACATAAAGGAGTTTAATTGACTTTTACTGGCCTCATGAGGTCTATCCATCTCTTTGTGAGGTGACTAAATTAGCTCAAGTGAATTAGGGTATACGGTTTACTGACAAATTCGAAATATAATAATACCGAAAATTGTGTGGTTATGCGCTTTCCCACAATGATATGAGTTGAGCTGACGTTTCCATTGAATTTCACATAGTCTTGCTTACCCAAAAGTT